ACCATCCCATCTTCTTCATGTCTGCTGGCAATTCTTCAACTCCACTTCAGAAGCAGGTGGCGGTCCTCTTCTGCGCGGTGGTGGGGGTCTCGAGCAATGCGGCGCACCTGCTCCTGGATATGGACCACAAGCCAGTGGAGCGCATCTACCACAACCTGGAGGTCGCTCGCTCGCAGTACGTCACCCAGAAGGAGAAGGACATTGTCTTCGGCGGGAAGTGGGAGGACGTGGAGGTGGACGAGGTCGACATTGGCAAGTTGACCGACGAGAGCGTGGCGGGAAACCTCAACACGAAATGGGAACAGTGGGGTGGACTCGTGGAGCGAGGAAGGCCATCCTCGCTGGTGCTCTTCAGGCTCAACCCCATCCTCACCAAAAAGAGATCTCCGGGGCCAGGTTGTATCAGGAAGAGGGACTGGCAGCCGATTGCGAAAAAGCACATCGCGGGCCGGAAAGTCATCCTCCACAGCGATGGGGCCAGAGCCTACAAGCTCAGGTTGCCGGACATGAGGCATTGCAACGTCGTGCGCAAGAAGAAGCGCATCGTCATCAACGGCAAGGCAAGTAACTCTGACCTAAACTGCTTTAACTGCCTCTTAAGGGATCTACTTGATTCTGTTATTCCTGTCTGTCAGGCCGTTTGGGTGAAGCCCCACTACACCAAGCAGTACGACGTCAAGCTGCCGGACGGGAAGAAGGTGCGTGTGAAGAGCGGCACCCAGATCATCGACCGGTTCTGGAACACCCTTCGATCTCACCTGAAACACACGAATAGAATCCCCGGCAGTCAGGTTCTCTTGCGAAAGCTGAGATCCGCACAGTTTGAATACTGGCATCGCCGCGCTAATATGTGGGAGGTGACCGGCCAGATGCTGCAGGCACTGCACAAGCAGTGATTACCGGATATGCGCTCGAAGGAAAAAGGCAAGAAAAATGCAAGCCAGCTCGTCGGAGTGACAAACATCTGCTACTGCCTTCCCACATCCACAATTTTAAAAAACAGTACAGCACTTTCTGCATGCTTAAAAGTGCTGTACTGTCCCTAAAATCCAGGCCTTGGAGGCAGAAAGTGCTGTACTGTCCCTAAAAAACCATTCCAGAAACAGTCTTGAGCACACAAACCTCCTTCTGGCAAGGAATTTTTGGTTTTTTAGGGACAGTACAGCACTTTTTTTTGGTTTTTTAGGGACAGTACAGCACTTTTGAGCATCAGCATGCAGAAAGTCCTGTACTGTCCCTAAAATCCAGGCTTTGGAGGCTGAAAGTGCTGTACTGTCCCTAAAAAACCTAAAAAAACATTCCAAAAACAGTCTTGGGCACACAAACCTCCTTCTGGCAAGGATTTTTTGGTTTTTTAGGGACAGTACAGCATTTTTTTGGTTTTTTAGGGACAGTACAGCACTTTTGAGCATCAGCATGCAGAAAGTGCTGTACTGTCCCTAAAATCCAGGCTTTGGAGGCTGAAAGTGCTGTACTGTCCCTAAAAAACCTAAAAAATATTCCAACAACAGTCTTGAGCACACAAACTTCTGGCAATGATTTTTTGGTTTTTAGGGACAGTACAGCACTTTTTTTGGTTTTTTAGGGACAGTACAGCACTTTTTGCATGCTGATGCTCAAAAGTGCTGTACTGTCCCTAAAAAACCAAAAAACTAAAAAACACAAAAAAGTGCTGTACTGTCCCTAAAAAATCAAAAATTCCTTGCCAGAAGGCGGCTTGTGTGCCCAAGACTGTTTTTGGAATGGTTTTTTAGGTTTTTTAGGTACAGTACAGCACTTTCAGCCTCCAAAGCCTGGATTTTAGGGACAGTACAGCACTTTCTGCATGCTGATGCTCAAAAGTGCTGTGCTGTACTGTCACTAAAAAACCAAAAAAAGTGCTGTACTGTCCCTAAAAAACCAAAAAAAGTGCTGTACTGTCCCTAAAAAACCAGTGCTGTACTGTCCCTAAAAAACCAAAAAAATGCTGTACTGTCCCTAAAAAACCAAAAAATCCTTGCCAGAAGGAGGTTTGTGTGCCCAAGACTGTTTTTGGAATGGTTTTTTAGGTTTTTTAGGGACAGTACAGCACTTTCAGCCTCCAAAGGGTGGATTTTAGGGACAGTACAGCACTTTCTGCATGCTGCTTCCATAAGTTCCATCTGCTCCCTGCTAACTTTTTTTGCAGAAGGCTGTCCACAGAAACCATCTGTAAGCATCTGCTTCAAGTTGCCTAACATCTGTCCATCAAGAATGTCGCAATCTTTGACTAATCTACTCATCAAGAATGATGCTTGTTTTGACCCAAGTTTCCAGGATCAGAATCTGATCCTGGAACAGGTGGTCAAAAACAAGCATTTTACATGTGTTTTTCCAGTGTTTTTTGCTTGCAAGAGGCAAAATGTGGATCATGGGGGGGGGGGTGACCATATATATATATATATATATATATATATCCACAATGTATATATATATATATAACTGGGCTCGCTCCGGCGCGGGAAGGGGCCATTCTTGGGATCCGGGTTCTGAACGCTTCAGGGGTCTCAAGCCATGAAGGTACCTCATTCCATCAGGATCCATCAGGATCGTATTTTCTAAACCTTTAGCCAAGTGAGGCGTATATCCCGTTGGGCCCCGACTGAGTGGGTTTCTTTTCACGGGATTTCCAGTTCTGAGCTTCGCGTCCCTCAAACTGGGATTTTCCAAGGTTCGACATGGGGCATGGTCAAGTGGAAAGGGTTTCAACAAGAGGCCATCATTTTTACCTCTCGACTGAAGCCCAAAGGGTTTGCTGGTCTCTCGTATTTGCGGATTTCAGGCCTAATGAGAAGGTGCTCAGCCCAAGCATTTTTTTATTAGTCTCGGATTTTTTGTTGTTGACAAAACACAACAGACACCAGGAAAGTGGAAGTTGATTGGGTACTGTAGCACCAAATGGATGTGGGTCAAAAATACGTGCCCAAAATGGAACCCCGGTAAATGGACATGGACTAAAACCTGCGGTCCCCGGGTGGTTTAATTTTGACCCATATCCAAATCAAGTCATGATCATGAGGGAATGCTTTGTATTTCATTTGGCCCCTCGCATCACTTGGCCACAGCCGGCCTCAAAATGTTCTTTGCAGGCAACATGACCCAAGAGCCGCGGTCGAAGCGAGAAGACAATGCCGGCGAGAAGATCGCGCATTCGGACATGTTGTAACTCGACTTAGTGGGTACTAACCTGGCCAAACGAACACCTAAGCAGTTTTTGCAGAGGTGCTCGTGCCAAGGTCGTTGAATTGGGAAGTTCTAACCCGTGAGGGAAGCATCAGCCTACACTTCCCTAGATTATTGATTGATTTTGGGCCCTCAAAATGGGTTGTTTTTGAGGGTCCTTGAGGGGTCGGGGTTCTGCATTGGAGGGCCCAAGGAAGTGCGTTGGAGCGGTCATGACCCTTAGGGTTGATGCGCTTTTGTGTGCCTGAAGTCCACTTTGCGGCCGTTGCACCCGGCATCGGCAGAGTTCCATCCATCGTCTCCACAGGGACCCCGGTGCCCAGACCCTACCAGCGTGGATGAAGCTGAACACATTTTAACGTTCTAGGGGTTGATTCCCCATTCTTTTCATCCATCGTTTTTTTTTCTTCTTCAAACAACATCCGTTTTCCCTGGGTTTCCGGAGGTTTTCTAGAAAGAAGGATCCCTGGAAAGAATGGGGAAGGTACCCCTGGAAAAGTTGACACGTTGAGTGGCCAAGGAACGAGTTCCGAAATCGGATCCGCGCAATACACAATATGATTGTCATGCAAGGTGCAAGGTCGCTCTGAACCGGAGGAACCACATTGTTGTTCGCGCTTTGCTAGTTTCCAGTTTCCTGTGTTTCTGGGATTTGCCTTGCGACTTGTCGCGTCAAGTGGTTCTGGCAAGCAATTACTGGGTTTCCGCCATTCCCTTTCTGGAACCTCCAAAAGTGACAGCTTCAGTGCAAGTCACCAACTTTTGGAGCGGAAATCCCGTGACCACTGGAGTATGTTAAGGTTCCAACAGGTGGTTTTTGCCAAGAGCCGCAGGGAGCCCTCAACCAAGCAGGGGAAAAATGTAAATCCGCACCTCGTTGGCTTTGTAGGGGCTGAGCTTCCCTTTCTTTTCCATCGTCCTGTTAGTTGGTTTTCGGCTGGTTTTTTGGCTGGTTTTCTCTGAAAAGTAGATCCTCGGAGGGCATGGCGAAGTTTAACTTGGAACTGAATAGTTTTTGAGGTTGTGGACTCAGGCTTTTGTCACGCTGCTTTCCCTCTGGTTCAAGCCACCTTTAACTCAAAGGGGGTCAACAGAGCGACCACCATTTGCCTATAAGGAATTTCATCATCCAACTTGGGTCCTTGCCATTCTCTTAATGGGCGTTGAACCCTAGGTTTTTTCTTTTTTTTCTTTTTTCGTTTTTTTCCTCCCCGGCTTCTCAGTCCGGCAGGCGGACACGGTCCCAGACGATGACGCTCGCGGCATTGAGCCTCCAAGGCAGGAGCTGCAGTGTTCTTTGCGGCCGGAAGGTAACTTCTCTTTTAAGCCACCATTTGGAGGGTAACTTTTGTGTACCTGGATCGCCAGGTGCTGCTTTTTTCTGTGAACTTTACCCCAAAAGCCAGCAACAGTGACTGAAAAAGCAGCAACTTGGAGATCTGGGTAACCAGCATTTGGGAGGTAGCTTCTCTTTGAACCACCATTTGGAGGGTAATGTTGACCAAGCATTAATAAACCCCTGTTGATTAATATGGGGGCGTCTCTGGTTTTAGTGGGGATGCATCACTTTTGGAGGGGACCACCCCCATATTAAGATTGGTTTATTAATCCGGGGTCAACATTAACTTCTCTGTTGCCAGCATTTGGAAGGTTAGCTGTTTTTGATCCTTTTTCCGTTGGACAGCCCAAAACATGCTCATAGTTCCTCCCAAATGCTTCCTCCTAGAGTCTCCATGACCCTTTAAAACTGGGGGCATTACCTAAAATAATGGGGTCATGGACCTTTTTTTTGAAAGGGTCATGGAGACTCCAGGCTCTCATTTGTCAAGTGGAGTTCGGTGCGAGAAGAGCCCATCAGTGGCTCCAGCGGTTGCCATGGCTGCCTTCGTGCCGACGCCCGCGCTCGCTCCGAGCACCGCGGATCCGGTGGTGCACCCGCGCCTGCGAGCGGCGCCGCAGTTTTCCTCGGGCGGATCGACATGGAGAGGGCTGTGTCCTTGATTCCACCTTGAAGCGTCAACAAAAATCAGGGCTAGGTTTTTTCGTCAGCTTCCTTACCCGCATAAGTAAAACGGGCACCTTGCACAAAACACGCAGAAAACAGTTTCCCTCAGCCAGCTTACCTACAAAAAATGGGTACCGGAGAAAAAGAACACAGAAAAAACACCACACACACAACACACTCCCTTTGCCTCAGTCCAGTGAGGTCTCGTCGATTTCAGCGGATATCCCGAGTCACAGTAAGTCCTCCAGGTCGGACGTAGCATGAAAGCCCGCCGGATGACTTCTTGACTTGGGCTAACTGGGAAACATGGTAAACTCTAAAGGGCTCCTTAAAAGATACATTTTGCCCATTTGAAACATGGCTTTTTCCACCAAAATAAAGGGACACCACCATTTACAAGGCAATGTTCAGGTGTATAATGTAAGGATCCCTGCGACTCCAGTTAGGAAGGTTATAACGCCCTTTATCCATCCAGGGCAGCCACGTACTATCTTGCAAATTGGAAACCCATGAAGCCTTATTCACCTGAGAGCCTCTGCAAACGCCGCGAAAGCATACATTCCGAAGGGTATGTGTTTCGCACAGTCCGCAAAAGCACCTCGAAAGCAACTCTAAAGGAAACGAACTCTTAGGGTATCGCCTTGTTACGCACAGAGTTTTCAGCACCGCTGACGTGGAGAAAAAACGAAAACATCCGCCACGTCTGGGTCGGTCGGTCCTCCCGTCGCAGGAGCTCTGCAGCCCCCGCCGCAGCCTTCGCCTTCGCCTGCTGCCACTCGCGCCAGCAGCGCGGCAGAGCCGCCGCGCGCGCACGCGGAGGGGAGGAGGCGACATCGACGGGCCCCACCTTGGCACCGGAGGACGACGGGAGTCACGAGTCGCTTCGGAGCCTTCGACCACTTCGCCTGTTGGACTTCAAAGTTTCAGGAAGAGCGTGGTAGATGAACAGTCTTTCACTTTTTCTGACCAACTCAGGAATCAGGAAGTGAGGGTGAATGAATGTTGACTCCTCAGATTCTTGCAACTTGGCGGAATCAATAGGGGGTGTTTCCTCCTAACATGATGGATTCCGCCAGTTTCAGCTTGGTGCTAATACTACTCACTTACCAGCTGGAAGCCACAATATGTGTTTGTATATGTTGCCCAAGGACTCCTTGGCAGGTGTTGGGTGCATTCGCTGACACTAGGACCAGCCAGGGTGGACGGGTTAACCAGGATATTTGCGTTCTTTCGGCTGTTTTAAGCCTCTGCGTCAAGAGTCATTTGTTTGTTTGCCATTTGGGTATGGGTCAAAATGAAACCACCAGGGAACCGCATATTTTTGTCCTTGTTTCCATAGGGCAACCCATTTTGGGGATACTCCCCATTTTTGGAGCCACCATTCGTTTGATCTTTGAGCCTCCAGGTGCGATGCTAGCTACAGCTTTCCCACCCAAGAGGGATCCAACTTGTAGAACATACAGAAAACAGGCCAGCCTCTGATTGTTGCTACACGGTCATTGTATCAAAGTGCGCATTTACATCGGTTGCTGAATCGATGTCATCTATCATGTAATATACATATATATATATATATAGAGAGAGATAACAGATGGACGGGCGGGCGGGAAAACGATAAACGATTGAAAGCAGCAAAACTGACACGAGGGGCGCGGTGTCTCGTAGGATCAGTGGATCAGCTCCTTGGACTTGGAGAGCTTCGGCAAAGAGGTCCATGAGCTCGGAGAGCGGCTGAAAGCGCAGCAGGATCAGGCGGGTTGGACGAGCCAAGCGCACCGGACGTGAGGGGTCGCAGCTCACCTGTTTGGCCGCCAAGGGGTGTGTGTGTGTGTGTGTGTGTTTTTTTTTGGGGGGGGGGTGGTGACGTGTTTCAAGGGGGAAAATGTTGGGAGCCCCGAAATTCGGGGTGTTTGGTGGGGGTGATGTTTTACTTAAGGGGAAATATTGGGAGCCCTGAAATTCGGGGGGAATAAGGAGCGAAAGCCATGGTAAAGACCCGGTAAACTCGGGGATAAAGGTCAGATGGGTTGTTTGTTGGGTCAAGAACGGTCTGATGGGGTCCTTTACTGAATTCTTATTCCAGCTTTTGGAATTGTAACATTTGCGGATGCGTGCGTTTGGTTGCTCGGATTGCTTTTGATGGCGCGCGAGTTGCGAGCTGCGAGGCAGTGGAGTTTCTGCCTTTTGCTTTGGTGCATTTTGCTTGGATGTTGGGACTTTAACTTTTTGCCAACTAATGGGTTTTCCCATTAAACCACAAAAGGTTGATCACTTTTAGCAGGGGAGCGAAAAGGCAACCGAGTTTTGCTTTTTGCGTTTGGTGGTCTGGTTCCATGTGAAAAGTGGATTCCGGGAGCCTCCAGATCGGCCTTTTGCCCGGACGCTCAAGGGTTCCAATACCGTTCGGGTCCCTTCAACTGGGAAGAGCGACAAAAGGAACAACCCCCGATTTCGCCCGCCAAATAAGCAACACACAAGCCAGATGCAGCTTGAGGGCGCCCAAGACCTAGTTCTATGGGCCGGTAGGTTCTACTTTATGGTGGTTATAGTAAGGCCGACACCTTTCTAGCCGCCTTTGGTTCTAACAAAGCTCGGGCTTTGGTCGCTGTGACTCGGAAGGCACGACTCAGTGGACAAAAAGCCTGCTTGGCACCAGCCGATTGGATTCGCGTGGATTTGAGCAGCCCATTGTCACGGCTGGCAATCTGTGAGTTGCCTTTGGCTTGCACTTGGCTTGCTCTTTTGGGGGAGCCTTGCGACTCTTTAATGCGGTTTCAGGGATTTGCAGGGGGCTCTTGAACCCATGGAAACCTCGTGGCTGGCGAATGATTCCCATAGTCAGACATGGGTATGGGTCAAAATTAAACCACCAGGGGACCGCACGTTTTGGTCCATGTTTCCACTTACCAGGGGCCATTTGGGGTACCTATTTTTGACCCACAGCCACATATGAGTTGTACAAACCCCTGCTTAATGAGCCCCCTAAAATTGAATGTAGGGCTCCTCACGAAACTTATGAACAACCCACAAAAGAGAACGAGCATGATTTCCAGTGAGGGGGTTCGGCTTTACTTTGGTGTCCTTGAACCTCGTTGAACCCCCCCACGGGACGCGCAGTCGGATCCCTTTCGCGTCGCCGGAGCGGTTTTCTTGGGTTGGAGCCCCCAAAATGAGGGGTGTCCCCCTCGGTTTGGCTGTAAAACCCACCAAACAAGGGGACCCCTCGAAAAAGAAAAAAAGATAGAACACAAAATAAAGAAACATATAAGTCGAACGTGGGGCGCAGCGGGCGGGCCGATAGCAGGAGGATGTAAAGCACCTCCACAAGATCCAGCTCTGGAGCCGCCTTTGCGCCGTGCTGGGGCTTGGCACCATGTGGATGAGCCTTGGAAGATGGATGTTTTCAGGTCTTGCTTTTCTGTTTTTTAAAAGAGGCTTCCCCTCCAGACACCCCGGAGTGTGGTTGGGGGTCTCAGAACCAGGTTCTTTGAAGCCCTTAAATCAACCGGCAGCCTCTTGGTTGGAGCTATGAAAGTTACATACCGCTTCTAGAAGGGATACTTGCTGCCTTACGGGCTTATACTGGTTGTATATGAGCCCAGCATCCATAGCTTGGCACAAACACGCACGTGGTGCGACTGTTTTAGTCGTTGTTCGAGGAAGCACCAGTTTGTTTGTGAGGAACCACCAGTTGAACACGAGGGCAAGGCAAACCGAAAGGAAGCCAAATTGAAAACTTAGGCTTGACCAAACTTAGGCTCGGTTTCACACAACTTTGGCCAACATTGGGTGATGTCTGATTTGACCACAATTTCCTTTACTTGTTCTGGACATAGAAGAAGGTGCCTCACTAACTAGCAAGCTGGTTTCAAGCTCTTTGTCTCGCCCAGGAGTGTATCAGCAGGCTGGGGCAAACAAGATAAGCTGGTGACCTATTCCCACTCCGGTCACCGCGCGGTGCAAGCAAATAGAAGACGCCGCCAACTTGTTGTTTGGGTGCGACGCTTGGGACAGTGGAGTCACGGAGGCTATGATTTACAACAACGGCGGCGGTGCGTTCGCAGCGGCATGTGGGCTTGTCGCCGCGGCTTGGGCGCATCCCAAGCTTCCCACGTGTGGGCGATGACTGCCCATGCTTCACGTGTCCTGGATGCGTGCGTGCCCCCCGTTCCGGGGGCATCTCCTCAGCTGCAGGTGACGATGGAGGGAGGCCGGTCTCAAAGGAGCAGTTATTGTCGCTAGCTCGCTTTGCTCCGTCCACGTCTGCGGAGGACGTAGATCCACAGCCGAGCAAACATTGTGGCAGGCGCCGGCAAGGCCACGTGTGGAGCACCAGTCCGGCTCCGAGGAGGGCTGTAAGCGATCCTCAACTTGAAAGCTTCCAACCACTAAGACCTTGACGCAGCGACGTTTTTTTGTGTGTGTTTAAGTTGTCAGGCTGCAGCAAACCGCTACAACTAAGCCCGCGCATCTCTTGATCAGCGCGTGCCATTCGTGATTTGTGGCATGGCCATGACAAGAGTCGCACTTGGACTGTCCTTCAGGCCGCTCTGGCGGTCGGTGGCAGACGCGCAACTCAACAGCGAATCCCCCCCCGTCATGTGTCGCGCGATTGCGGAACTCACGGACGCTGGCAGGCGCAGCAAGACAAATCTGCCGTTTGGTCCGGTTGATCAGTTCACTGAGAGGCAGCACCCGCGGGATGATGCTGCAGGCTTCTGGGATAGATCCCTTGTGGCCTGCCAAGGGGCGGCTTTTGGGCATCTCAAATGTCATTGGCTTGCGGGCAATTGACCCATGGAGCCTCCCGGAATGGAAGGGGTGGTGGCAACCATGTGGGTTTCTTCTTAAACTCAACCAGTGAAGGGGCAGGCCCCGAAAAGATTTGGTCAAGGGGCACGCGTCTCAAGATCTTTTTGGGCTGGTGTCGTTTCGGCTTCCCTCTTTTTGCCCTTCCCCCCAAAAAGCTCCCCCCCAAGAACAAACAAGCAAGCAAGCAAGCAAGCAAGCAAGCAAGCAAGCAAGCAGACAGACAGACAGACAGACAGACAAGTACACTCACAGGCCTGCGGGGATTTGCGATCCGAGGAGTCCAAACCCGCTGCCGGTGATCTTCCTTTGTCTATGGACCCATAGCGCTTGGACGATGATGGGCCGCTTGGACACGCGAGCGCTAGACCAGCGCTGGCGTTTGGGTATAACCTAGAGGCAGCAAGCACAAGTTTTGCCCGGAAGCACGCACCTGGTGCGAAATCGGCGTATCTTCGTCAATCCTATCCCAATTCGCCCCGCGCGCGAATATCGCAACATGGCGAGTGCCTAATTTGTCCCCATTGCCGTGTGTTCGGTGACACAGCTATTGTATATATAGTCCCTGTTGTCAGCGTGTTGGCATATCACTAAAATCAAATCACATTATTATCAGCATATGTTTCATCAATACAAGCATATCATTGCAACCCGTGGTGAATCTCTCTTGAGGGGGACTAACTCACCGACATTACAGACTCACTTACCACGCGGGGCCGTCATCGGCAATCGAGAGGAGCTCAAACCTGAAGGTTGTTTGATGCACCCAAGGATCGCCAAGTTCTCAACCTTTGCGGTTGGTCTCATGTGCGTTTGTGTGTTTATGTGTTTGTTTTTTGTGTTTGATATGTGTGTTTTTGCCTGTGTGTTTTTGCCTTTTGCGCGCTTGCGCGTTTGCGTCCTTTGAGGGTATCCTTTTGAAAGCCCTGTCTAGCACGACGGTCGCAGCTGTCGCAAAGTCACGCGTCTTCAACAAGTGGGTTTCTGCGTGGAAAATGTTAGCCCTGCGCGCCCAGGAGCAAGTTGCGTATTTCAGACTATAGCTTGTCCGGGAGGTGGAAACGATATGCCCCGAAAATCTCTGGCTTACGGGAGAGACCCCGAGAAAAGTCAGCTTCGCTCTAGTCAGCCCCGTGTAAACGTCGCGTTTTGGGCCTTCGATTTGAACTGAGTTACCCTCTTTCCAACAATCATGGAAGTGCACAAAGGGGTTCCCCAAAAGGAAACTAGGCTTCCAAAGCCCTCCTGTCAACTTCCATGATTGTTGGAGGGAGGGTAATTCCCCCTTTGGTTTCAGAAAAGCCCAGCGTGCACCGTGAGGCCGTGAGGTACGGCCATTCGCTTTGGAGCCCTGCCCGCGCCCACGCCCAAAAGCACCCATCCACGCGGCTCCCATCCACGTGGATGGTCCTATGTGGCTTCATAGGGATAGTAAGGACCTATGTCTTTTAGGGGACCTGGAATGGTGGACATCATGTGGGTGGAAATATCCAACTCTCAGTCATGTCAAGTCAACCATCTTACTATGATGCTTTCCACTTATCCCAAGGCACTACCGCCAGAAAAAAAAAGGCCATAAAGCGGCAGTATATCCCGTTCAACCCCTGGGGTGGTGATTTGCGGGTACTGGAGACTATCTTACAACCAAATATTTGTCAAAACACCCGGCAAAAGGTGAAAGAAGTTGAACAAATCAAGGTCTGGAGCATTTTTTCTGTACAGGGCAGCAGCTGCCGAACAGCGGCGCCTTTTTTCGGTTCGCAGCCCTCGCGCTTTCGCCGCGCTTCGCGCGCCGCGCATTCGCCGCGCGCCACTCGGCTGAAGGCCACCACGTCTGCCACGGGGGGTACAACCGCACCGACGCCACGGGGCGGTACAGCTCACGGGGCTTCGCCCTGGGCTCTTTGTGGCGCCGCGTCCAGGCGATCCGCCCGAAAAGCCCGAGGGGCCCCGGTGGCCCAAAAACCCAACCGAAGGTTCCGCTTGGAGAAAGGGCTATTATTATTTTTATTTTTTTAGTTGGTGAACGGTTTTTACTGTTTTTTGTGTTGGAAACTTTTTTTTTTAAACGTGGTTTGGGTGAAAGGTGGTTGGGTTTGCATTGGGGATTTTAGTTTTCGACAGTAAATGGATCCCCTGAGTGCCAGTCTCTTGTCCACATCCAGTCTAGTCAGAGTCAGGACTTGCAGAGCACAGCCGGATTCCCGAAATCGGGACCTTCCATATCCCTGGCCAAGTCCCCCAAATGGTACCGCACAAAATACTCGATTTTCCCCATAGCGGCCCAAGGGGTCTCTTAAGAGAATTCATTCAGTGGTTTAATCGCAGATTTTCGGTCCATCGGTACCCACATATTGCCCTTGTTTCTTGGGCTGTGGACTCTGGGCTGTTTCTATCAAACGGGTGCAGATCGCTTGCATCGAAGGACAACCCCGTGTAAGAACCTTTGTGCTAGGACTTGTTTGATCTTTCATCTTTGGGTGTCAAACAGTTCTGAGACTTGATAGGCCGACATGTGATCTCTTGTTGTGGTTTCCAGATCCCGGGGTCGCTTTTGCGGGTCCCCACACGGCTCAGCTGGGAAATCCCCACCCCTGTGAACAAGCAAATGGAACATGTTTCAGTACCTACGTCACTCCAAATCTGTTTGGTTACCTGCTTGCCAGGTCCAGGGGGATTCTTTACGCCCTGAGGCGAAAAACAAGATTTCAGGCTGTACCCTCCCACCAACTAGCATGGAAGTGCACAGACCCCCTTTCCAAGAGGAAAGTCGTCTTTCTACAGGGGTCTGTGCACTTCCATGTTAGTTGGAGGTTTAAAGAAAGCAGCAACTCCTTCGGTTGCAAGATGCTTCGCTTCAATCATACCGCCCCTCGGCTCGGAACATGCCCGGCCTTTTGTCAGGACTGGTTTGACTGGATGCTGCCGGAAGCCTGGCATCTCGGCGCTCACTCGTCGTGGCATGTATTTTCCCAGCTGAAAGCTCTCCGGTCTTTGCCCAGATCGGCATTTTTCGGCAGCTTTCGGGGAGGTTTCGGAGGGTTGCGAAGGGGGGTTCCGAACTGTTGGGGATGGCATCTGTTTCTCAAAATTGACGTCCCTGAAATGTGCGGCGTCTTTTCGGAAGCCTCTTTCAATGCCAACCAAGGACCCCCCCTTTTGGGGGCACGGCCTCTAGAAACTTGTTCCATGGCTTCCAAGTGGACACTGTTGGGTGAATCAGGTTGTCGCACAATATGCGATCGAATTCCCTTCAAGCTTCCTTCAAAGCAACCTCAAAAGATAAAAAGGATCCCCTCCAGGCCTACTTATTTCCTAAAAATGAACCCCCCAACAAGCTCCACGTCGTTCTCCCGCTGGTTTCCCATTTTCGGCTAGGATTGTCCTCTCAAAGGGGGTTGTCACCCAACTCGTCAAAGGACACTTCCCGTTTCGGTTCGCTGTTTAACTGCTTGCTTGGAGCACTGCGTGTCCTTTTGACTTGTGTGTTTTCCCTTGCAACCCGACTTCAGTGTAAAGGGCTAAAGAGCTACCCCAAACCAAAGACCAGAAAGCAACGTCCTGGAAGCCAGATGGACCCCCCAAAATGGCGAGTTTCGATGTTCCTTTTGGCTTCCCTTGACAACCACCCACACAAGGTTGCCCTCGCAACCAAGTGGACCCAGCCAAATCGGTTTGGGTCAAACTTAAACCACCAGAAAAAAAACCGCAGGTTTCAAATCCATGTTTCCATTTCCATGGGCAACCCATTTTGGGGTTACCCCATTGTTGACCACCACTGCCAAGTCCCGGGGATCCGACGGACTCGCGCGTGTTCGGGGTCGCGTGTGCGTTTAGGAGCGTGGAGCACAACAACCTCCACCACTACCGCCTCAGCGAAGACGGGGATCCGGACCTGCTGGAGCGCAACGTGCAGAACTGGAGCGAGGCGGCTTTTTTCGGCGCTTCCGGCGGTGTTGGGTTGGGCTCCGCCTGGGTTTTTTCTGGTTTTAGTGCCAACTTTTATGCCGTTTCTTTTCAGGTTGGGAGGGTTCCCCTACTAAAAATCACTACAGCAACAAGTTGGTACCAACTTATTCTAACCTCTCAAATCTGGAGGACCTCGACTCTGTTGGAGTTCAGATGTCCCAACCTCTCGCTCCCTGAGTTCCGTTTCGGACTTTGAACTTTGTGCTGTGGATGGACGAAATCCTGCACCACCTAAGAAACCGCGGAAAACCAATGTTTGTTGGTATTTGCAGGCCGGGGAATCATCAGAAGCCAGGGTTTCTGAGTGGTGCGGAATGGATGTGCAACCAACAGTAAGGCAAGCCTCAATGAGGTGCAACCAGTTTGAGGGCTTCGCCTCTTTGGTTTACAGGAGTTGCCGAACCCGGATACAGATGCCTGCGCTGGCCGTTTTGATTTCTTCTCGCGCAAATCCTTTTGCCTGTTTTCGAGGCTTCCCCGTCGTGAAGCAGGAACCCCTTGCGCAGAGTTCTTTGCTTGCTTTTAGAGTTAATTGGAGACCAGCGTTGATGAACGTCTGGTTTGTTTATGGAGAGGTGTGACTTATTCAGAGGTCACAGAATACTCCCCGCATGAATCCGCAAGGTCGATTCATTCCGGGTTCGCCATACTGTATCCAACTCACTCGATTGTCCAGAGCAAATCGACCTTTTGACTGTTGAGTTCAGCCGCAATGTGTTCCATCCATGTGACCTTTGTATGTTTCCATTCAACTTAGCCAAACAAGGCCACCTATGCTCTGCGCTCGTGTACTCATTGGTGGAACAACAGGCCAGCAGCTTCCTGTGCTTTACAAAGTCAGCCAGCAGGATCTTCTCTGTTGCCCCTTAGGGACCCAGAAATGAAGGATTAACCTTTCCGGACCATTGCTAAAATGGTTTCCAGAAAGGCAAAACCCAGTGCTCCGCCGAGAACACCTCCGGGGAAACTCGACCTTGCAGACGCATACCCTCCCTACCCTACCCTACCTCAACCTTTGGGGAAGCACAGCAGTGAACCCTGTGAAACTTCCGGCTGGGACCCTGCTTTCGGAGGCCGAGAAACGGATCTGGAAGCCGCTCTGGCGGGATACTCGGCGGGATCCACTGGCCAGCTGCTCTGGCGGGATACTCGGCGGAACACTGGCTCGCCAGTGGATCGCGTCGAGTATCCCGCCAGAGCAGCGGATCCCGCCGAGTATCCCGCTGCTCGCCAGTGGATCCCGCCCAGTATCCCGCCAGAGGTGCTCGCCAGGCCGCCAGAGCTGCTCGCCAGTGGATCCCGCCGCGCAAACGCGGATTCCAACATAACATCTAACAACCCCTTCCTGTCGGGTGGGGAATGGACGTCAAGGTCACTTGCCGCGCCGCGTTTCTTTTTTTGGTTCGCGCGCCATGCGAATAAATTGAACTGTCGCGTCATGCGATTTCTCATTTTTCGTCCGGCAGGCGGAGAAGCAGATCTTGCCCTTCATGTCCATGATCACCTGGAAATGGTCCTACTACGCCCCCAATACCTACAAGGAGCTCAAGGCCTTTCGGCGCGAGGGAGCTCGGGAGTTCTCCTTGGATCTGATGTATCCGGTTGGATTCTCTGAACAGATTGACGCCCTGGAGGAGTAGACCCCCTGTTTATATTCCGTGAAAGGGGCGTCAGCCTGGTGTTTTTAGGGGGGATTCATCACTTTTCGGGTGGGGAGCACCCGCCAGATGAATAAACAGGGGTTTCTTAATCCGGGGTCAATATCAAGTGACAAGTCAGTGGGATGGGAAACAAGAACTTGGGTAGAAAACAGATTTCTGGTAATACACCTACAACCATGTGGGTGTGTTGGTCAAAACAATTCGGAGCCCAAAACTGCTGGCTTTCCTTTTGGTGTGTGTGTGTGCGTGTTTTCAACCAGACTGATCAGGGAGCCAATTAAGATTCAACAGCAAAGCACACATAAACACGCCACACACACACACACCGGGTACAGGAAAAGTGAACCATGAATGGGGTGATGTCCCAATTTGGGAATCCCCCCCCTCCCTCCCTCCCCTCCTCCCCCACAATTAGTAGGACGGGTTCCAGTAGTGCCTTCAAGCCGGCCGCAATCGGCCAGGGCATGCCTTTTGTTGGGGACCTTTTGCACCTCAAGGTTACTGTTGGATTGGTGGTTCAAATCTTCAGTTTTTTTTGCTGTGAGGCAGCTGCAGAAAGAATCCACATCCAACTTCTTGGGGACCCTTTGGACACCATTTGGGGATTCAGCTATCCACCAAGTCTCAAACACTTGCTGGTGCTCAGTAGGGAATGAGGGAATGAACCTGGAGATTCCCTAAAGGACACCATAATGGGATATGGTTTGTAGGGCCCTTCGCTGTCTCATTCCCTGGTTTTTCTCTCGCAGCAGCGTTTTTTTTTCTTCTTCGGTTCGCCAGGTGGCGGAGATGCGGAACAAGGGCATCCCTCTCCCCGAGAACTTTGACCCTCAGAAGCCCTTGACTTTGGGGGACATCGTCATGGGCGACGCCAAAGGCGCGTTCCGGAAGTTCCGTTCGGGCGAGGGGGAAGGTCCAGCCCAAAAGGGGGTCCCCGTGACTGGTTGAAGCAAGCAGGAAGTTTCTGGCGCCATGCACGAGACGATCAAGTTGGAAAGTTGAGTTAACACAGGTTGCAACCCACTTAAGCTTAAAGGTTCTCCTCTCCACAAACCTGAAACCTGCCACTTTGGGGTCCTGGAAGACGATTTTCATTCAACACGGACCCTTTTTGGTGGGTGGCAACATAAAACCAACCCCCAGCTTGCCGGCCTATGCTTTCCTGGTCCATCTCTGGTGCGACCAATTCAGGAGAGACCAACTTTTTCTTTGATGCATCTTGCTCGGATGTTAGGACTTTAACTTTTCGCCAACTAGTGGGTTCTCCATTAAACCACGAAAGGTTAAACTTTTAGCAGGGCAGCAGGAAGCAAGCGAGTTTTGGAAGCAGTGGCGCAGGCGCTTCCATAAAAAAAACCTACGAAAGGTCTTCCTGACCTTTTGCTCAAACAGGGGGGGGAGGAGGATGGAGGGGGTTCAGGGAGCCACCCGAGCAATCGAGTACTGGGGTGCCAGTGTCTGACAATAAACTCCCAGCGGAAATCACCGCTCATTCCGCTCATCTCAGATCCATTTCGGTGAGCTTTTTCCCGAGAGGAGCTATCGCGCGATCTTGGCGAGGTATTTGCGTTCTCAAAGTAGGGGAATCCTCTAAATTGGCTGTGGCTCAAGAAACCGGTGCCAAAATGGAACCCTGGTAAGTGGAAACATGGACCAAACCCTGCGTAACGCCTCCTGTTTAATTTTGAGCCACACCCAATTGCCTTCTGGGCTGTTCAAAGGCAATCTTCAATCCTTGTGTTCTGAACGGGACAGGGCAACTTTGTGGACACCTCAATGACAATTTTTTGAACGGCCCAGTCATGCAACCAGAGAGCCAGAAGCATTCACAAAGGGGGGTTCAGCCAAAAAGGGCACCCGTTTACGCAGTGACCTTGAAAGAAGCATACCTAAAACCCTTGTTGGAAGGCCTAAAAAAGCCTTATGATCATTTTGGTACCAGATTCGGGCGGTGCTCAGGTGTTTTCTCCCTTCGGGAGCTTTTTACGCGGGTGCTTGGCCCCTTCTTCATCTTCCGCTTTTTCCTGTTGCCTGCGCCTCTGCTTCTGATCAACCCTGCCTTCTACCTGAACGGCGTGATCAACATGATGCTGGCTGACGTCTTGTCGACCTATGTCAGCAATTGTCCCATCTCTTTACTCATCTTGGCATGTGTTGTTGGTTTCTGTACTTTTGGTTCTGTTTCGGGTTGATTCATTGGGGGCTGCGAAGCAAACAAGTCTAGCACGCCAATTTGATTCCACCCTCTAACTGGGCAACTGGGATGTCCGCAGTCCGTAGTGGAAGAAGAGCGGAGAACAGGAGGCTTACACTGAGGCTTGCACGAGGGATGTACAAAGCATGTTTAAACGACGGGGCGAGTCCTGAATTCGCTAAGTGCGTAGTTGCATTGCGCCATGACGTGAGACACGGATTGAGAGAGAGGGAGAAACAAACAGATAAAGAGAAAGAGAAAAAGAGAGAGAGAGAGAGAGAGAGAGACTGAAGAGGAAACAAGTTTGGCCTTCTTTTTGTTTTTGGTCAACCTCTTTCAATGCCAGGTATGGCTGGATTACAGCAGGACCTGTAGCCTTTAAGCAGCAGGCTTTCGTTGCGGCTCATTTGGAAGACGACACTCCAGCGGAGTAGAAGCTCCCGTGTGTTTGAAGCTTCATGCTGTCATCTCAGGTATCCTTGGGTGAAAGGTCAGCGAAGTTCCAATTTCGCCCATCAATGCACGGGGAGGGTGTTGTTTGTGCCATCCACTGCCTTCGGACAACGGATAGTATCATGGTCATACGAGCGGTTGGAGCCCGCTCATTCAAGACCATGTCACCCTCAAGCTTTTGTGTATACAGCCTATGGGTGGCTCGTTTTCTTGAGGGTACTTTTTTTTTTTTTAGTAGCTTTGTGTTAGTTTGAAAGGAAGCCTAAACGGAAACCCACCATTTTGTTTTTTGCGGGGGGGTCCAACCTAAAGAGGACGCACCTTTTTAGGTGGTTCCAAAAGCCCATCCCCAGAAATGTCTTTATCTTTGTAAGGTGTGGTTTTTTCCACTAAACCGCAAGCTAAACTGGCCGGGGGTAGGGTTCAGAACCGCCCAGCCAAAGTCGCCGAGGAATCTGCACGGATTCATCGTGATTGTGCCAAACCACGCGGGGGAGGACATGGGCTGAGCCCAAGAGGGGCCCCTCTTCGGGTTGGATTGAAGGGAGACGAAGTTCCGCACCCTTGTCTTGAAACGACGGTTAATTTGAGCTTCCTCCTGAGGGGGTGATACTTACGCCAAGCTTTGATACTTGTGCAAAGCTTTCTTTTTGTCCGCCCGCTTTTTCTTTGGGTTTGGGAGTAAACACTTTGTGCTGTTGTTTGTCTCAAGACGGAATGCCTTGCATATTGCCCGGATGTTTGTTTTTTGTCGTCTTGGCTTTTAGTTCTTGTAGAGTGCCTCTAACAATGTTTGCATTGATTCTCTCTCTCTCTCTCTCTCTCCCTATATAGACCTTTGATTTACTGTAAACTACCATGGGTTTTTGGTTCAGTACGATTGGTTTACTTGCAATACCTCGGGCATGCAACGTAGCTTTCGGTTTTTGTTGTTTATTGTTTCGACTTTGGTGGTAAGGACCTAGGTAAGTGGTTAGCTAATGTTAGCTACCTGGGTTACATGAACGGGGAAATGGGTCAACGCCTTCAATCCGTGTATGCAATATGTACCCACATCCCCCAAGCGGGTCTTGGACGTTAGCGTAACCCTTTTTTCCCCTCTAATTGGTTCTTTGCTAGGGGCACCTTCCATTTCCATTCTTTCCAGGGATCCGAATCTTTCTAGAAAACCTGCTTTGAAACCCAGGGAAACCGGCCGGTTTTTGGAAAGAACGATTGAAAAGAATGGACAAGGAATCAACCCCAAGAGCTTTGGATATTGGTGGAGGTGTTCAAGGAGTCTAGGGCTTCCAATCCGGATCCAAACCTCCAATGAAGGAGAACCTGAATTTAAACCTATCCCAATTGCCCTCCAAATGGGTCCTCAAAATGAGGTACCCGAATCAGGTCCCTCCAAATGGCTCAGAAATGCTACAAACCTTGCCCTTCCGGCTGGCCAAAGGACGCAAAGGACCCAAAGCGTTCGAGCGTCGGTCAGGACCCATAGATGTCCTTTTTGGTTGGTGGGTTTAAAAAGTAGAGGGCGAGTCCTGGTTTACCTGGTGGGTCCATTCTCTAGGGCCGTCTATTTTTTAAAGAAGGACTCACCTATGTCAGGACCTCTACCGTTTCCAGCGGTCCTGCAAGCCAAAGAGCCCCACCTTCTACCTCCGCGCCATCACTTCCTCCGTGAACTTCGACACCGGGGGCGACCTCAACGACTTCATGC